ACACACACACACACACAGGTATGTATGTATGTTGTTTCCACCGCTGCATAGCGCATCAACAGGTTAGCAACACCTATTCTCGGTGATTAGATTACTTTAACCAAAGTTTTTAATTGTGACCAAGAGTATAATTTTCTACTGTGTTTTTGAATGTCAATAATTTTCAAATTTGAGTGTAACTGTCTTCAATAAACATCAACCTCGCTCTTAAAAACATGAAGCGGGTTTTCCTCGGAAATGTCCCACATTATAACGCCGCTAAAATGTCAGGACCCTTGAATGCGTATATATAAGCCGACATGATGTGTTCTACGAACATATTTTTCCTTGCACTGATATTGTCGGAACATGTTACACGTTCTCCCCTTCACACCTCAGTCGTTGTTTCCCCCTGCACTTCGACACCCTATGTGTCACCAAAACTCGGCCTCGACATCCCTATCCATACTCCATACCCGGTTTTCTTCAGCGTCCCCACACGATGGCAGTGACTTCCCAATGCAACTGTTGTGCTTCTGACCACACAGTGTCAGCACACCCTTGACACCCTAACTCCCCCCCAAATGCTCGGTCTCCATTGCTTTGACGTAACCGACGACCATGTCTCCTCCCTTGAGATTTAGTATAGACATGCTCCAAGTCAAATGTTTTTAAACCCAAAAACATATTATCTTTAATTGCCCATGTCCCGCCAAAGACCTTGTGGTCCATCAGCATGATAGTGACTCTCTCATATGGGAGGTCACAAGTTCGATCCCCGGTGATGTTAATAATTCTATGTGCTTAATGGGTTGAGAATGTATGAACAGATACTATATTATAATAGAGTTATTAGTGTTAAAAAAGGCATTGTTATTCTCATGTTGTCAAACACATCATTGGCGTGATGCCATAACGGAAGAATATCAAGCCTTTGTCTGAACCAAAACTAGGGGTTTAGAGTGTTGTAAGTGGATTTATAAAATAAAGTTTTAGTCTGATTGGTTAGTTGAGCATGTTGGTTGCTCTTGACTACCACGAAACCTTTACTCATGTTTGTCGTCCAGAAAAATCCTTGGTATCGTTTAACTAAAGATCCCTGGACCTAGTTTCAGCAGTTTAATTCTTTCTTTCTCTCTCCAAAGTTGTTTAAGGCGCAATGCGCGCCGAAGCACAAAGGGACTTTGAGGTGGGTGCATCACGAATGCGAGGCACAAATCAAGGCACAATTTAGTAGCGTAGCATCTTTAAATTAGTAATAAATGCGAAAAAAACTGCTAAAGAAATTGTTGACCTGCTGAGAGTCTGTGACACAGAAAATGCAAAAACTAAACTGAAAAGGGCATTCACTGCTACAGTTGACTTGCTGTGACTCAAAAGGAAAAATGCCTGAAATAAAGGATAAAAACCTGCTAGAAAAAAAAATTGTACTCCAAGAAGGAGACAAGGAAAAATCTGACAAGCAGGATTGAGAGTCAAAGCGGAAGAATCCGGGAGAGAAGTCGGTGAGAGAAGGTCAAAGCAGAGAGGCCTGGGACGTGTGAGATTTCTTCGATATAGAAGGTCAAAGCAGAGAGGGTGAAGACTAGCTTAGAAGGTTGAGTCTAGAGCGTTAACTCATCAACCCTAAACTTAAACCTTTAAAAAACCTACCGGTTCGCGATGCGCACATTCTCGCGCCTCAAATTGCATCACATAAAGAAATGACTCACAATTATGTGCGTTTTTCACAACTATGATTATCTCACAAGGCTTTGTCTATAGTATAAATGACTTCAATGTTGGTTTAGGTTTATCATCATCAAACTTCTCTTCTTTCACCTTTTATATGTTGTTGACATGTTACTTACAAAAAATAACCCCACTTGTAAAAAATGCATTACTAACCTCTTATTCACTTTTCTATGAAGGACTTGGGTGATGTTCATTATTTCTTGGCTGCGCAGATGCAGCACACTCCACAAGGTTTGTTCATATAATCATATCCTAACACACATATGTTGCTGACCTGTTTGCCAAGTTTCACCTTCATACAGATGATGAATTACTTGCTGATGGTTCTGTGTATAGTATGGTATGTTGTCTTCGGTATCCTGCCTTGACTAGATCTTATATTGCTCATGTTGTACATGTAGTTTCTCAATTTAAGCATGCTCCTCGTACTACTCACTTGCAAGTTGTGAAGTGCATTTTCAAGCAATTACAGGGTACAGTTGAGCTTCACCAGGGACAATTTATCCGCAACAATTTCAAACTGGATCTTATGGTAGCTTTCTCTGATGCAAACCAAGCATATTGCAGATCAAGCTCTTTTTTAGCATTTTTGTATACCAAAAGAGCGGTTTTTACTGTCTAAATGCTAATTGGGGTATTTGTAAATAACATATTGAATTAGCATTGTGCTCAAGAAAATGCTAATTTCAAAATGCTGATCGAATGAACATTTTGGAAAAGAGAATATTGCTGTTAGCATTTCAGTTTAATTTATTAGCTTTTTTTACTAAGTAATAAAACATATGTTTAAGAGTTTGCTAGTGCTGGGCACATAGTAAGGACAGGGGCTAATACAAACAAGCTATGTGGGTCGTAGTTAAGTTGGGATGATTGCATAAGGTATCCATAGGGAGTGATAAAAAGATATCACAAAGCAAGGTTAGCAAGTAAGCAATCAATCAGGCACGATTGATGGCAAAAACGATGAGATCTTCAAGATAACAATATAGCCACTTAACGACCATAAACATAGGTATAAGAGAATTATGACATCTCTTACGAGTCTTACCTTATCAATGTCAACTTTATATGTTGTAACATGGGGATATTTCTCACTTAATTCTGAAATTGCAGGAGACAACAATTTACCTGCAAATATACAGCAAAACTAATAACTAAAAAGAAGATATTTATGGTTTACCTACCATTCTGAGATAACCAAGAATAAAGTTTAAAAGAATGAGCACAAAATGATGGTGTCATCATCAAGAGAAAGTAGAGTCAATAAATTATCTTACATGGCCCGCACCAAGCAGCAGTGAAGTAGAATATTGCTGGCAGAGATTCATCTAGCAAAAGATTCAAATCCATTACACGCACACATAAAACTCAACATTGTAGGTTGGTTAAATGAATTCTTGATAATAGGAAAAGAACAAAAGATCCCATTTTAAAGGGGGCTCTCCACTACTCCATATGTATCTGATGACAACAAGAAAAGGCCTGAACTACTAGCTTTTCTAGGATATACTCCATAGTAACTTTATAACTTATTCAACTATTGGACTTACCTTGAACCTTGCGAAGTGAAGTATTAAACTGTTCTTCAGACTCAATTGAAACAATATTTGATGGACCTGCAAGGATATATAAAGACTTTATTGTGTCAAATTAGCCAAGGTTGGAAGGCACAACCTGGCCTCAAATCACACTACCTCTGCATTCTGAGGCTGTGAGGCTTTGAATTAATATATATATATATATATATATATATATATATATATATATATATATATATATATTAAAGAATATACAAAGTAAGGGTTGTTGTAAAAAGATTATCCCAAAAGAAAATAAAGAGGAACAAAACTTTAAAAAAACATATTGATTGGAGAGAGATAGAGATTAGAGACTACGTTGGTGGTTGTTGACTGAAAACACAACTCTTGGTAAAAATAGGAAAGAGATGAAGGGGAACAAGCTTATGTCATGTGTGGAAGAGACAAAGGAAGGAAATCATTCCTCCATTCCTAAATGAATTGCACATTTTTCTATTTCAACTTCACGATATTTTTTGTTTACTATCATCATTCAATGTTTTAGTATCTAGGTATGCAACTTCATCCTTGTTTCCATCTCATTCCATATTACTAGCCTAAATATCTTTATCCAAAGGAAATATAGATTAAAGGTCAAAGACAAGAGAGAGAGAGAGAGATGTAAGGGTTGTTGTAGAAAGATTATCCCAACAGAAAATAAAGAGGAACAAAATAAAAAAACATATTGATTGGAGAGAGAGAGAGAGATTAGAGACTACATTGGTGGTGGTTGACTGAAAACACAATTGTGGGTAAAGATGGGAAAAAGATGAAGGGGAACAAGCTTGTGTCATGTGTGGAAGAGACAAAAGGAGGAAATAACTCCTCCATCCCTAAATAAAAGAAGCACACTTTACTATTCCATCATCACAATAACTTTTATTTACTTGTTTGTTTTCATTGATTATTTGATAAAATAAAATATTCTTGTCATCTGTTGTTTTGTAAAACCTTTGACGTAGTTTTACACATGTATGTTTTATTTTTATACCAATTGTTAAATAAAATGAGTTTTAAAACTTAGGATTCTGCCTCATACGTCCTATGCAATCCATTTTGGGACGGAAAGTGTAAGAAATAAGACTAGCATTTGGTCATTAGTGCTTGCGAAGCAAAAAAGATAGCAGAATGTCACGCTACGCTTGTATCTACATGGGACTTAAAAACTAAAATAACCCTAAAGAGGGCAAACCTCATATTTTTCTCAATAGAATAAAGGCTTAGGCCTCGATAACATGTGACTCAGCACCTCGAACACCTAAATGCATAAGGTTCTTTTAAGTCGACAAAGACTTAAGCCTCATGTGCATTTTATTCTTGTCATAGCACCATAGAGACATAAGCCTTGTACATCTTTCAAAACCATAAGAAGGGATAAGCCAATACAGTTGGAATGCTAGCAAATAAAACAATCTACGTCTCCAGTAAACCCATTCACCTCTTTAATAATTCTCTCCTCTCTTCTCTAATCCACACCCACCTCTTCACTAATTCTTTTCTCTCTTTACAGAAGCCAAAAGTATATTGCTCCATAATTTCCAAAATTTTCAATCAGAAAAAGTTATGCATGTAGCCAATTCAATCAGTTCTTTATTCAGTTAGCATCTAGAATCATGACACAAGCGACTGGAGTTTTCTCACATTAAATTACTATAGTATTATCATAATGCTTGAATTCATAAAAGGACGACAAACTATTTGGGTAAGGTGTAACAAACTGTAATAAATTTAAGTCAAATAAAATGCAAGTAATGGAATGGGAAGGGGAGAGGAAGGACTGAGGAGGAAGATGAACAAATAAAACTGGTAAAGGAAAGAGAAGAGTAACCAATGGGAGGGAAATGGTGCAGACTGTGAATTCCTTGGGCGGTGGATGATGTTATGTGAAACAAGGGTGATGGTCGAGAGTGGAGTTACAACGGAATTTGAGTATAAGCAAATCAATAGAAACAAAGTGCATTGGTCGGAAAAAATCTAGACTCCCTTGCACTTTAATTACCACCATTTATTTTTATGCGGATTAGAAAACTACACATTCCAAATCATTCCAACAAATTCTTTATTTTGGTGATTGGCTAAATACCACTTAGAGCTGCAATAAACTGGTCAGTAGTCTCCAATGAGTTGCATAGCAGGAGTAGAGATTAAGGGTGTCTATTTCGAACTGACATGGTGGGTTAGGTGGTCAATGGTGTGGTTTAAACAAGCAAGCCAGATCTGGTTCAAATCTGGCAGTGGACAAGAACAACAACATACCCAGTAAAACCTCAAAAGTGGGGTGTGGGGAGGGTGGGTGCAAGCAGATTTTACTCTTACCTCGAAAAGGTAGAGAGGTTGTTGCGAAAAGATACCGGATCAAGCATGATGTTAGGACTGTCCAACAAGTCAAGGTAAACAAATATAAAGGAAATAAAAATCTACTCTACAATTAAACAAGATTATCACAAAGCAAACACCGCAGTATACCTAGCTAACTAAAAGGATCCTAGATACATGGAAAACCACTCCAATCTAAACAAATCTGGCCTTGGGTGTTATGCAAAAACCAGGGTTTTGTATGTGAAACTTATTCTATGAATGAATGTTTGCGTGAAGATTGGAGCAACCCCAGAATCAAGCTGAAAAATAGCTTTTTCTTTAAAATTAATAAAAACAGCCTACAAACATAAAAATAATCTTACAGAATTGCATAGAGAGTGGGTGTTTTAGCACAAACCTGCGGAAGATGGAGACGAAAAACTACGGAAATGATTGTTGAATCGCGGCGATTGTACGTTGACAGAGAAAGTAGGACTAATTGTAGAATTGAAAAGTGGTTGGGAAATATCGGCGAGAGCAACGGTGGAGTATGAAACCGTGGCGACGGAGGACACCATCAGTGCAGAAGATCGAGGAGTGAGGCACGGCGCAGACCCGATTAAATAACGGAGTATCGCGGAGGCTCTCTTCATTCTCGTCTCCCTCTTCCTGGTGCACAGTGGAATCTCCTCTTCAATGATGCTGATGCAGGGTTGTGGTCACTGGTCAGGTCTAATTGGCCTGTCTGGTTTAGGGCATCGGACTGGGTTGTGTTTCACTAGATCCAAAGATTTCTTGTCCAGAAAGTTTTTCATTCATAATGCAATTTTGAGCCATGCTAGGAGTACACCAAAAGTGTACCCCAAATGTACACCACTCCCTTCTCCACCATTCATTTTTATTTGATTTTTGTTTATTTTTTTTATTTTCTTACTCAATTATATGGACAATGAGAGGGTGGGGGACAAATGGGATACACCAAAGATCTCAGAGGGTAGGGGACAAATAGGTACACAAATTTTTCTACAATTTTTTTTCTGAATTGTCCCTTCAACATAGGTCTCAGGGACCCACCAAAGTACAAAAGTTAGGCTATTATATAAAACACTAGCTTGAAACGCACGTTGTGTGTGTGGTGCCCGAGCTATTATTTACAAAAGAGTTCCATAAAAATTTCTATTCTCTAAGATTTACATATGGCTAATGGTTAGGATTTACATGGGTTCTTATGTATGCTAAAAGGGATAGTCGAAATTCAGTTCATTAATCATTTAAAATTACAATTTTATTTTTATGGGTTCCTATACTAAAACTTCAGTCTCAATTGACAGTTTTGTAACAATGAAACAGATAACTATGGAGAGGCAAAACCATATTTCTTATTTTCCCAACAAGAAGTATAGAATTGAAATTAAAATTTTTTACACTTCTCTGAGATTAGTTCGCTGGATACAGTAGCTCTCTACCAACGAGGTAATCTTCTAAACAATTAGTTTTCTAATCTTAAAATCTAGTCTGTATTTAATTTTGAAACCTAAATATGTGATTTGTGTTGTGAATTTTTAAATCAAACTTTAGGGTTTTGGGTCGATTCATGAACTCAATTTAAAATTGTGGGGAACATGCACTTTTAAAATTTGTATCTGATTCAAATTCAACAAATCATGTAGTATAAACATGTGTCTAATTCAGCATCAGATAAAAAAGACGAGGAAGGAGACGAAGAAGAGACACGCAAAGGGAGAAGAAGAGGGAAGAATTACCTGTGGAAAAGATTTCTTGAAGGAATAGTAGTCCAAAAATTAGTTCAGTACTTATTAATAGGTGAGGAAGACGGTATCGTGGGGCGGTGGCAGAGGTTGTGGGGCGGTGTAGATATTGTGAGAAAGTAAGCAGAAATGGTAGAGAATCGGAGAACAGACGGAGCCGGTGGCTGTAAAATTTGGAAGGCTGATCGTGGGAATTGACGGGAAAATGGCGAATTTGACCGAGGGAAACAGTGCCCAACTTCCAAACAGCTCTGACGGAAAAAGGGCCAACTTGACGGAGGGAAACGTTATAGGGCCTTATAATATAAGGGGGATATTCTTGTTTAAAGAGTGGATAATCAAATGGATAAGTTCACACTACCCCGTCAATTTGGGATCCAAAATTGAAATTTTCCTTGGAGGGTATCGTGAAGGAATTGGAAATCGCTCATCTCGGACAACCCTCACCCCATGCCTGACAGGTTTATGAGAGAAAGTAAATTATGGTACCTCAAACACCAAGGCTAAGACCAGTGTTCACTGCGCACCAGTAGCCCCCTCATTTTATGAGAGGTTGCTCACTTGCTCCCACATTGTTGCGGGTGAGGCTCGATCCTTGGTCTCTTGTAACAAATTCCATCTATGAGACCCGTTGAGCTGCGCATACGGGCTCAATCCAAAGATTTCATTCAGTGGATAGTTGGACACTTAAACAAGTAATTTTCGTGTACTTATACATTCGCATGAATATTCATTTCCGAGAAACTCAATACACATTTTCGAATATAATTGAATTTTAGAAAAATAAGTATTCAGTTGCTCGTAAATAAATATTCAATTGCTCAAAAATGAATATTTAGTTGCTCAAAAATAAATATTCAGTTAATCATAAATGAGTACTCTCAACAGATGTACGGGAAACATCTTACAACTGGTTGTACGACATATATTCCAGTAATTTTTTTAGATTGGGCTATCTGTAGTTAATAAATAATAAATATTAATCTAACATAAATTCAAATTATAATAATTTATCACGAAATAATTACAACAGAAAAATAAATTACAATGAAAGAATAAGCAACGAAAAAATGAATTAAAATGCAAAATAAAACACGACATTGAAATTAAGATTAAAATATTTAAACTAATCGTCCATGTTCTATTTCTTCTGGACTCTCTCCTTTTCCTTCTCAATGTCTTCTCTATCATGCACGATCAAGTGATGTGTTGGACTCCACAACAATCACATGTCGTTGTTGTATTATTTTTTGGCGTGTAGATCAATGAACGTCTTCATGTTCGTTGAAATCTTGTCCAACCTCTCATCGAACAAGCTACTTCCTAAGGACATTAGACGTTTTGCTTATACTCCCTCCGTTCCACAAAACCCTTCCGGTTTTGACTTTGGGGAAAAATAAGGAAAGTGTAATTTTGGTTGACTTTCCAATTTCGCCCCAAATGTGATGGGAAAAAGTAAGATGTGATAGTTTGGTTATTAGTGAAAAAGTATGATGTGATAGGTAGGGTATGAAAAAGTAGGGGTAAAAGTTGTTTTTAATAGAAAGTGGAAGTGTTTTGTGGAAAGCAAAAAAAACGAAAGAAGAAGGGTTTTGTGGAATGGAGGGAGTATATTGCATCTGGGCGGTCAGTGAGGTTCAAGAGGCATGGAGTACTCTTCCCCTTCTTCATTGGAGGCATTCGAATTTAGCTTGACTCGAGAGGAAGAGTTCCCGAACAAACATCGATTGAGGAATCTATTTTGGACCATTTCGGGACTTGGAGCCTAGGGACAAAATGCTAATTTCTGGAGAGATGTATGTGAGTTTCCACACCTTGATATGCATAAAAGTGCCCCGCTCACGAGTGTAATTCATCAAGGCCATGTTCATAACCATCTCGTCGCTATGGCCACTCCTCCGCCTGTTATTTTTCTCATTTCGGACCCTAGAGAATTTGAAGAGCTTCGCTTTCATCGCCATTTACCCGAGATCATATCATTGGTCCAGTATTGGCCCCGATCCATCGCCTCAAAAATTTGACCCCAAATTTAAGTAAAAACTTTAAGGATTCTTGATTATGACCTATAAAAAGTACAAAGAAAAATAAAAAGTATATAATTTTTTTAAAAGTATTATAAATTATAAAAAAAGTGCTACGTGTTATTTTTATTTTAAAAAAATTTAGAAAAACGTTTTCAAAAAGTATTACCTTTATATGTTTAAAGTACTAAAAAAAGTTTTTTAAAAAGTTTTTAAAAAAGTACTCCCTCCGTCCCATTTTATAACGCCTGTTTCGGTTTACGATGTTTAACTGAAGTTATTTTTAAATCATTTTAAATGACAAATGGTATATAATTAAAAAATAAAAATTACATATCAAAATACTACATCAAAAGATCTACAAAACTAGTAGTGTTAACAATATTTTATTTTATCAATTTACTAACGAAAATAGAGAAAGAAAGTGAATGAAGTTTGACCTTGTGAATAGTAAACAGGCATTATAATTTGGGACGGAGGGAGTATTACGTTTGTATATTCAAAGTACTAAAAAAATTTTAAAATTTTTTTTAAAAAATTATTATGTTTTCATATTCAAAGTATTAAAAAAATTTTAATATATGTTTACATATTCAAATTAGTAAAACAAATTAAAAAATAAAGGACGTTCTTGTCTCAAGATCCTTAGAGGTGTAAATATAGGCCTGAGCTAGGGCAACCTTCTTTTCCTTAGCCCATTTGGTCATCCATGGCTTCATTCTTTTCTGCAACACATCTTTTTTTTTTGTGTTTTCTCTTGGAAGTTGCCGGGTCATGTTTGGTGGCGCGTTGGGTTTGGGATGGTTGTTTGTTTTGTTTTGTTGGAATGAAACCATTCATGAAATCTAGTGTGGGTGCAGTGGTTCAAAATTGCCCTTGTTGGAACGAATTTGCGTAGCTATGCGTTAGGTTTCTTAGAGAATTGGTGCTATCAAAACTATTCGGGTTGATCTCAGGAGGGTATCAATTATAAAAAGGGTTTAGGTATAAGTAGTTTGGGTGGTTGGGATCCATGTTGAGGAGTTGAGGAAGAGTAGTGAAGAATTTATTTTTTTGAATATTAGAGGAGATTTGAGAGTTGTGATACTATATTGGATTTTTTTAGTATTTATAAATAAATTATGTAAGAAAAATTTAAAATGAGCTAAAGTCTCTTTTTTACCGTTGGGAATGGTCTTAGCAATTTTCAAGACATGCCATGCCCTTGACCACTCTCCAGCCCTCCTTCGTCAGACCTCTATCACGCTAGCAGTGGAGCGATGGTCACGTTGTGATGGGTCGTTTCATGCCAACAGTCAAGCCCGATTTTAGAGTCTTAGAGATCAAATTGATCATGATAATAGTTCACAAAAAACATTAGATTGAGTTAAATTGTGAAAAATAAGATTGAGTTATAATCTCAGTCTTTTCAAAAAATAATTGGGCATGTCCTTGATATTTGCAAGAATCTCATACTTAACATGTTAACATATATATATATATATATATATGTATATGTATATGTATGTATGTATCCTACACATCCCTTCAAAAAAAGATCCTACACATTAATACATAAGAGTAGATATAAAGTAAGAGTAAAAGCTTCACTCTTGTGAATATTGGCACTTGTTAGTAAGAGATTCGTCTTATTCTTGTATTTATTCAATTAAGATGTTTCCCATTGGTATTAATTTCTCTCATTTTTTATCAATAAAAAAAACATAAAAGATGTCAACCTTTATCACGTGTATACCTGATCCGATACCGAGATCCAGTATATCTAAATCTAGTACTCCGTATAAAACTTCAATATCCAATAGATAAACCAGTACGGATTAGGATCAAAATTTTTATAAAGGGTACGCCTATGGAACTCTATGGACCAGCCCGAATCCGATCCATTGACAAGCCTACACCTCTAAAGCTAAAAAAAATTGACAGAGAGAACACCGTAGGGTGCAAGAATGTTAGCCTATAAGAGTACACCTTAGATTAGATTCTCTTTACATAATATCACTTCCACAAGACCACATAATGAATTCATCACTGAACCAAAAATTCTGCCAATATCAAACCCAAAATACAAAGACATAGTTCTAATCTACAAATGCACATTTAACCAATGACAAACATTGACATCATTTACCATTAAGACATTCCAACAAACACTTTGGTAATTAATTATGTGAAATTTGCACTAAATAGGACTAAAACATAATGGCTTTCCTAATGTAGGACTTAAACTTTTTTATTCCCTAAATAGGACTTAATAATGACCTAGTGGAAAGAATAATGTCCAGCAATGATGCACATTTAGTTGAATAATGACTTCGTGATAATGACCAAAGGTCCTACAATGGGAAATAAAAACATATGGTCCTATATTGGGAAAGTCATTATGTTTTAGTCCTATTTAGGTAAATTCCTCATTAATTATTACATTCTGTTGACAAAATACATCCACAAGATCACATAATAACCAAGTCATCAATGAACCTGAAATTAGGACAATAGCAAACAAAAAATACAGACAAGTACTTGTAACTTACACATATACACTCAACCAATGAACAACATTGACATCATTTATATCACTTAGCAACACTTGGTATGTGTATCTCATACTCAACCAAGACCTAAACCAACATGCTTTCATTTCCTTGAGAAAGAAGAAAACAAAATGAGAGCATGAGCATACCTTTACTACACACAACATGGCATTGTTCTCATCTTTAATGTGAGTTTCCTTGCTGAGCCACGACGAAAACGGTTGCCACAACTTCCACATCCGACTCAACCACAACAAGATTGTTCGAAATGCTTTTCAATGCGTGCTTAGGGAAGGAGTCCTCAGAGGGAAAGAACGTGTATTCGACGTACGTGGTCCTGTTAGGAAAGAGAAGAATGTGATTGAGATCTACTTTCCAAGATGTGCTTGATGTAACATTATTCGATTTAGCCCTAGCAATTGTGGATTTGATGTTCATTCCCCGGGCGTTGTTCCTATCAATGGTTACTTGATCAATGTGCTTGAATGACCCCTTTCTCTCGTCCAACCGAACAATGTCATCTTGTGAGCTTCCGCTGAACATGTTGTCGGCCACGGTGACACCATTGATGACACCATTGACGGACTTGAAGAGAATGTAGGCATCTCCGAGAAAGAAGCAGTTGGAGATTTGAAGCTGGACGGGGTCCTCTGCCACAATACCGGTGTAATCGAAGTAGGAATTCACAATCCTCGTCTGCGTCAACCCAGGGGTTTTTAGGTAAACCCCGGTGCCGCCGAATCCGGTGGCCTTATTGTAACAATGAACACCGGTCAATATGTTGGCTTGGCCGGAAATCAGGATCCCGATTTGTGCCGAGAAAATCACGACGTCCGTCACGGCGTTGTCGTTGCCGCTCAGACTGATTGCCGTCCCACCGAAGTGCGATTCACCGGGGTCGTGGCCGGCGGTGATGTGTTGACCGAGGAATGAATTTCTGATGTAGGTTTCGTGACCGCCGGCGACGGAAATTCCCTCTGAGGTGAAACCTGTAATGTAGCAATTGTCAACGGAGATCCTCAGGGAGTTGACCACACGAATTCCCCCTCCCCGGAGGTTGGAATTCAGAAATAGGTCCCTGAAAGTGACGAACTCGAAATTGTACTCTAAGCTTGCATTGCCAGCGCTTAAGTCGATCAGATAGCTCTCGCCCGTCGGGAAATCATCCGACGCCTTTAGTGTTCCTCCATGAATCTAATCCACCCAAAAAAAAAAAAAAGAAATTATTGATTATTCCATATTTTTTCAGAGTTAACTAAAATCCTTAAACCCACAAACTTTCACATGAGGTAAATATTTCAAGGGGAATGCTAGGTTCATAAGCAGAATACTCACAAACTTCACAAATTTACTATTTATGATTTAAAATTTTATTTTAAAATTATTTTAGACCATTTAATTTTTTCCATTGAAGTTTACAAATAATAAGTTTGTGATGTTTGTGACCATTGTGTTTGTGAACCAAACATTTCCCATATTTCGATGCTACATTTGGTATGTTATTGGAATTATAATGAGAGATTTCAATTCTAATTCTCCTATTTGGTAATATAAAAACATGTGAATTTGGAATTAGTAGTGTCAAAAATGAATTGAAATTAGAGAATTCAATGCCTAATAATCTAATATTAAAGCTCGAGCATGACCCGCATAGATACCCGCAGATTTCAAGTTGGCGCGGCCCATGTGCATTAATTTTTACTCATTTAATTTTTTTTAGAATAAGTAATACCGTAAGATACTACACGGGGTACATGTTTGATAGCTTTCAAAGAAACAACGAATATATAATAGTCTTGTCTATGAGTATTTGTCCAGTTTGAGTTAAAGGGCTTAGAGGTTGGCTAGGATGGGGGTTTAGAAGTGGGTAAGAGGATGCGAATCATCAATTTTGTGAATGAAGCACTAAATGTATTCCAAATGCAATGACAGCAAAGTAGCACAATTGGCCAATGTCAACTGAATTTCACTCTACTTATTGATATTATTATTGGTCCTGCCCAGTCTAAAAACATGGATGTATAATCTAAGCCCGATCTTTGTGTTATTGGTCCCCGACTGTGGCTATTGACTTAAAATCCTAGGATAAAGCTATTTGTATCTCAAGAATTTGTATCCCATTGTGTACCCCGCGGGGATGCACCAACATTTTGTGATTGTGTAATGCTAATTTTTGTAAACGCACAAACACTTTATGTTAGTGTAAATTTTTGTTGACGCACGAATACTTTATGTTCGTGTGAAACATCAAAATGTTGGTACATATATTTGGTGTACAAATATGTAGGAATTTTAGGATACATGTAAGATCCTCCAAAGTCGTATCCCGTACACACTTTTTTCTAGGCGGGTTTTTGGACATAGGCCAAGTGTTTGGGCCCAAGATCGGGTGTTGAGTACTTTAGTCCTACCATTACTGCAAATCACGACTCACGAGGGGACAATAAAACGGAAAGAGTATCAGTTTCAGAGGATTGCCTTACCACAAAATTTCCGGTCCCCGGCGGGAGCTGCAGAGGCTGTGAGACGACATAAACCCCACCGTCAAGATCCACCCTGACGCCGCCGAGATTCCGAATTCGGGTGTACAAGAACTCTCTCCCCCGAGCTTGAAGCGCTTCTCCGATTGCTCTCCTAATAGCTTCCGTGCTGTCATTAACGCCGGTGGGGTCCGCACCGCCGTATGAGGCCACGTGGTACACCCGCGGGCTGGCTGCAATAACCTGCACGCCGCCGAAGACGACGGCCGCCGGCAATTATCATCAGTCTCCACCCAAATCAAACTCCAACCAGAAACATTATAAATTAGAGAAGAAGAAGAAGAAAAAAGATGAGTTAATTACACTTTCTGGCGATAGAGGCGCAAGCGGTTTGCTCTTTTTATGACTGGTATGGTTCTTATGGCGATGATCAATTTCTCCATGAACATTTGCATCAAAGAAGGTTAAGAAACAAGTGGTTAAAATTACTATGGAAAAACAGAGGAAATGCCTAAAGGTAGAACCCATTTTTTTTTTCAGCAGAGGAATTAATCAAAGTTAGCTGGTTGTTGTAGAGGAAAAGGGAATGCCCAATGGGGAAAGCATCTTAACCAAGAGAAGACAAGCCCCACACTATATACTCTCTTCCACAATCCACACTATATACTCTCTTCCCCTCAAAGTAGGTGTAATTTAAAAAAAAACTCCCACCGTCTCAATATATTTGTCCAATTTGAATATTTCGAATCAAATAGAATGAACTTTAAACTTCAATTAAATAAAAATATAATAAATATTAGTATAAGAATAATTTTATTAGACTTATAATATTGAGATCTTTGAAAAAATTTTACAGTAATTATTATACTGCGAAGTAATATGCAATACAAATTGAGAAATATTCATGCTGATTCTACACAAATTGAGCAAACAAATACTAAATTTATTTGTTTGTACTGATTCTATCAAACTTATACCTTAAAGAAAAATATTAATGTTGCATAAGTATTTATTATAAATCAACAAAGTATGAAATAAAAGAAATTAAATAAAAGAAATTAATCTATATAGAACTAAAACATTAAACATATATCAAAACAATAGTTATTAATTATCTAATTGAATATGACCATTGGCATTGTGCAATGCAACAACTAAGTGTTGTATATTGATATTTCACTGCAATTATATATTTACACTTTGGCAATATAAGCAAATGTTGAAAGTTGTATTTTGGTGAATGAATAATGTTTTAGTCTACTTCAGAAAATTACTCACGGGTGACGCAGGTTTTGTCGAAATAACTCTCAGGTCCCTCTATTTTCAAGAAGACCACGGAGGTCCTTACATTTTGTTGTAATTACTGGAAGGGGACATTCCACCCAATATTTCATCCATAAACGTAAATAAATGTATTTTTTTTCCCTATTTTTTTCGAAATGTTTTAAGGTAATAAATCTTAGGTCACTCCTTTTTTTATTTCTTTGTTTTTCTTTTTTTGTTACTCTTTTTTAAAGAGTTATTTTAGAATTTCTTCTATAAAATCGGATAAAAATTCAAAATTGTTTGTATTATATTAAAATAAATGAAATACGGAGTAAAATATTTTCTAAAAAAGAAATAACCGAGTAATGGCAAAATAGGGAAAAACAGTAATGGAAAAATAGGAAAAAAATACATTTATTAACACTTATGGATGAAATATTGGATGAAATGTCCCCTCCTAGTCATTACAACAAAATATAAGGACCTCAGTTGTCTTCTTGAAAATAGAGGGACCTGAGAGTTATTTCGACAAAACTCGCGTCACCCGTAAGTAATTTTCTGAGTCTACTTTGATACTTTTCCCAATAAACAATCAAAAGCAAGATTTTTTATTTTTTAAATGCTAAAAAATATTTAAAATGAAATTGAAAATAAATATCGGACCCAATTTGGATTTCCCCTATTCGGACTACTCGATCCCAAAAAATTCTCTACTTTTTAAAATAAAAGCGAACTAGTTAGAGAGATTGAGTAAAAAGACCGAATCAATTATATTCTAAATAATGCTTCATACCGGTCTTTTTTAAAAGATCGATATTGTCCAAAGTACTTATACCATCTGGGTGTACGGTGTTTCTCGAACATCTACATAAATACTCAGGGAATAACTAAATTTTAGAAAAATGAGTATTCAGTTACTCCAAAATAAGTATTTAATTACTTAAAAATGAATACTTAATTATTTGTAAATAAGCACTTGCCTGGAATGTACTATAAAGACTCTACAACTAATTCTACCGACTTCTACGGTATATCTAGTCTAACCATTTTGCTCATCTCTAGAGTGAATTACACTTGGGATTTAGGGCCTGTTCTTTAGGACTGTAAAAAAGAGCTGGATGTTGGAAGAAACTGGAAAAAAAACTAGAAGAAACTGGAAAAAACTAGAAGAAACTGGAAAAAACTAGAAAAAACTGGAAGAAACTGGAAAGAACTGGAAGAAACTGGAAGGAACTGGAAAGAACTGAAGGAACTGGAAGAAACTGGAGTGAATTTATTTTAAATTCTTGTTGTTATAAATTATTATTATTATTATTATTATCATCATCATCATCATCATCATCATCATCATCATCATCATTATCATTATCATTATCATTATCATCATCATAATCATCATCATAATCATCATCAGTATCACGTTATCTTAGTGAATATCTTTAAGATATAAAAAAAGTATTGTTATTTTTTAAATACAAAAAACTACTTTTACAAAAAATAAGAGTAAATTCTATAATTGGTCCTTTATAATAAGGGGGTTTCCCTATTTAGTCCTCTATTATCAAATATTACCCAAGTGGTCCTTCTTTTATGGGTACCTTTCCACAAATAGTCATTTTTTTGATCTTCTATCATGTTGGTGTTAATTTGAGGGCTAAAAGTGTAATTTCACAATGATAATATATCTTTTTTGTCATACACAATTCCAAAGGCTATTCCGTTTGCGTCGTTTGTGAATTACAATCGCTTTTTACGACAACTATAGTCTACAAATGTGATCTTTCGTCAGAATCATAGCCCACAATCATAGTCATTATTTTTGTGTTATCCGCTTAACCAATATCAGAACATGTCACTAGACATAATGTTGACGTCAAATTATATTTTTAACCTTTAAATTAACACCAACACGGCAGAAGATCAAAAAAAGGACCATTTGTGGAAAGGTACCCTTAAAAAAAGGACTACGGGGGTAATATTTGATAATAGAGGACTAAATATGGAAACCCCCTTGTTATAAAGGACCAATTGTGGAATTTTACTCAAAAAATAATTATAATATAAAGTTAGCATAAATATAAAAATATTAAATTTTAAAAAGGTTGTGTAGTTATATTGCACCTCAATTTATTTATGCAGTATTTATTATGAATAATTTATTTGTAATTATAACTTATATATTAAAACATTTTGTTTCAAATATCATACATGTCACATAATCAAACCCATTGTTTCTTTCATGATTGACATTTTATTTTCATTGAATTCCTATTTTTGGAATAAAGACATAGAACTTTTTTGTTTACATTTTTTATGTTTTACTCATATTTTAGTCTTTTTCTCTAAGTTCTTTTGACTTATAATTTTTTTTTAATAAAAATTAGAAAAATGAGCAATTTTTAAGTAATAAAGGGAAAACTGAGATGTCTTATAGAAAGTTACATTCAATGTAACTATTTTATCCATAATTTTTTAGTATAATTTAACATATTGATGTTTTCCTATTTTATAATGTAGACTAATACACAAAAAAAATGTCTTATTCATATTAAAAAGTTGAAGAAAAAAATAATAAGTGTGAATCGTAAAAATAGTGAGATGAAAAAATACTCCCTCCGTCCATGTATGATCTTCCCATTACGCGTTACGAGGCTTGACCGACTTTATTTTCAATTCAATTTAATTGATTATAGGAGTAAAATTTTAAAATAAAATTTATATAGTAATAAACTACATGAAAAGTTCTACAAAACTAGAGGTGACAAGACTATATTATTTTATGAAATGACTAGTAAAATTGAGCAAACAAAGTGAGTAAAGTTGACCCTGTGAATANAGTGAGATGAAAAAATACTCCCTCCGTCCATGTATGATCTTCCCATTACGCGTTACGAGGCTTGACCGACTTTATTTTCAATTCAATTTAATTGATTATAGGAGTAAAATTTTAAAATAAAATTTATATAGTAATAAACTACATGAAAAGTTCTACAAAACTAGAGGTGACAAGACTATATTATTTTATGAAATGACTAGTAAAATTGAGCAAACAAAGTGAGTAAAGTTGACCCTGTGAATAGTGTCTGGGAAGATCTATGGTGGACAGAGGGAGTAATTTATAAACTATAGTTATGAATATAACAGTTGTAATAATAATAATAATAATAATAATAATAATAATAATAATAATAATAATAATCACATTGAAATATATCATTTTTAGAGTAATTGGTTGAGGAGTTGAAAGAATTTGAAGAAAATGAGAAAAATTGGAAGAAACTGGAAGGAACTGGAAAAACTGGAAGGAACTGGAAGAAATTGGAAGAAACTGGAAGAACTCGAAAAAACAGGAACAAACAGGAACAAACTGGAAAAAGCTGGAAGGAACTGGAAAAAACTGGAAGTTAAGAATTTAAGCCCTAAAGAACAGGCTCTTAGCCAGAGAAACTAAAGTCAAGCATTTAATGTTTTTAAAATAAATTAGAAACTTTTTATTAACGAACTTTAAAATAAGAGTTAAATTAGGCTTTTGACACCGAGTAAGAGAAATCTAGGTATACAAATATTTGTTTAGGCTAATAACATGAGTGCCCTCGTTGTTTACAAAAAAAGCGTCAAAATCCCTTCTATTTTCAAAAATTATTTGTAAAGTCTCTATGATTTTTATATAGAGCACAGACGTCCCCTTATCTGTTTTTAGAGTTAAAATGGCATTTGTACGGTTGTACCCGTTCTTTTTCTATATCTTGAATTTCCATTTTTTATTTTCCTTTATTATATACAAAATAAAATAAAATATACGCTCTCTATCTCAAATTAAAATTTTCTATTTATGAATTTTTGGAAACAAAAGATTTTTTGGAGAATGTTACAAAAAGAAAATGAAGAACAGAAAAATGAAATAAAATATTATGTACGAAGTAAAAGAAAAAATAAAAAACGATCTTTTTCTTTTATTCTGTATTTTGTTTCATCTTTATGTTCTTCATTTCTTTAAAGTCTTAAAGAAATTATTTTACTTTTAAAAAAAAAAAAAAAGTTAAAATTTTAAATTTGAGATAGAGTGAGTATATGTTATCTATTTTTTTTATTTTTTTATTACTTTTACTTATAATAAAAAATATATTTTATTTTATTTTTTTATTTTTCATTTTCTTTTGTAACATTTTATAAAAAAGTTATTTTGTTTTGAAAATAAAAAAAGAACAACTTTAATTTGAGATAGAGAGCATATATTTTATTTTATTTATTTGTATAATAAAGGAAAATGTAAATACAAGAGTGAAACTTAAAGATAGAATAAATGAAAGGGCATAAATATCATTTTAACTCTAAAAATAGGTAAGAGGGGGGCGTCTGCGCTATTTAAAAAGCACAAAGGTTTTATAAATAAGTTTAGAAAATAGAAGGAGCCGGTTTTGGCATTCCTTTTGTAAACCACGGGGGCACGAGTGCTATTAGGCCATATTTTATTACTACATCATTTTTAATTTTTTTTAATTAAAAAAAACTATGAAAAAATTCATGTCGATTTTGTGGACGTTAAATCTTTGATAGAATTTCTCCACTTTAAGGCCCTGAAGAGTTCAAAATTAAAAGCTAAAATTAAAAACTATAAATTCCTTTCTTGAAAATGAGAGGATAGAAAAACTAACTTTATTTTGAGTCAATCAAAAAAGTGCATTGCTTATTAGCTGGGATGGGAGGAAATATCATGCCAAGGAAAATAAAGTATTCCAAACCATGAGAAGTAGAGAGTAAATTCTCCGTGCCTTGAACGGCACTTCAAGCAGGTGTATAAGAGGACCAATGACTATGACCATGGCTCCTTCATTCTAAAGGCACAGACTAATTAACAACTTTTCTTTTCTCCTTCCGACAATATCATGTAACATTATAAAAAATGTTGTGACTTCTTTTTCTCCTTTGTTCCAAAAGCTTTTCTTTAATCTCACTTTCGCTAGGGTCTTCGGTCCATGGCCCGATCTACTACTAATTTATGGGAGGAATGTTCTCCCAATCACTCTCAATTTGTTTCTATACTCCTCTGTCCTGCAATATTTGTTGAAGAATAAGTATTTTCATTGAATAAATTGTGAGGAGAGTACATGTATATATACACAAGTCTCAATTCTAATTAAGGTAGGAGAGACAAAATAGGAAACCTATACAAATATGGTAACAATAATAATACAATAATATTAAATATAATATATATATTTAACATGCTCCCGGCTACGTCGGCAGTGCTGGGGGTCGGATACCCAGGCTTTCTCTGAAGTCAAGAAATAATTGTGAGGGCAGTCCCTTTGTGAAGATATCAGCAAACTGAGAAGAGGACGGAACATGCAGGACTCTGATCTGACCGAGCGCCACCTTATCACGCACAAAGTGTATGTCAACCTCGACGTGCTTGGTGCGCTGATGCTGCACCGGGTTTGACGAAAGGTAGACC